TGTTCGTTGGATTTGTTGTTATCTTCCTTTTATTCCTATATGAATTGGTGTTTGTTTTCGCCCTAAGTAAGCCATTGCTCCATTATTCAACTTTTCGTGGAGTAATGTGCACAGTTAAACCGTCGGTATCCTCATCATAAACAATGACATAAACATCTGAGTACGATTTACGGGTGGTTTCTTGCGGTGGAAAATTAACGTCTATGATTCAAATAGTATGAAAAGCGTAGGAACTTGGAGCGACTGTACTACTAGTGATAATTATCCGAGACTGAACTCTTTTTCTAAATTGCTTAAATCAAGCGCCTACAAACGGCCATCTAAAAAAGTATGGGTGAGTTTGGCACCGTCACTTTTCTGTGTATTAACCTACCTCCTCCATCAGAATGATCGAGTAATTTGGCGCCGTGCGCTCAAAATCTAGCCAGGGCATGAAAACTAACATGCTACGTGACAGAAGACTTGGGGTATTTGCTTTATGATGTGATGCGCGTAAGGAAGATTAAGCAATCCGGCGGAGTTTGTTTTTGGCTGACCCTACCACATCGCGAACGAGAAGCAAAGGACGATGCCTTGTGCATAGTTTAGTACAGCAGGGTCCAAATGTATACTGCAAATGTGCTACCTATACTTCAAAATGACTAGTGGATGAGCACGTGGCCATATTCGTAACCGAAACCTTTACTTACGGAGAAACTTGGAGTCTGTTTTAAGCAACAACATTATGTATACGTAATATGATTTGGTTGATATAAGCCAGCTGGCTTAGTTCGAATAACATCACATCTAAGAAGCAGCATATGGACACCATACGTCCTTTCAAATAGCTTTTGCACCGTCGCTGATTTACCCAATAGTATAAATCACAAACATTTCTAGGGTTTTGCTCCAACGTAGCTAATTTCACTGTTTGTTAGCCTCGTCGAACACTTGCCGTATAATCCCACCCCAAACTATATATTTGCTATCCTGATAATTACTTTCAAGTGATTAGTCAAGCCTAACACAGTGCATGTACGAGTGCGTCTACGAGCAGAAACGTTTTGGTTATACCTTCTTAATTCTGTCCGAACTGAGGTAGGCGCAATATAAATCAAACTTTTATATTGAGCGTGGAAATGCTTGAAGCAAAAATAGCTTTATTCAGCTGCTTTCAACTGGATTGTTTCCTTTGCACACAAATAGGAGATTGTTCAGACAACACATTGTGCGACAACGCCAACCTCATGCATCATAGTCGCCGGGGTGACAGTAAATGTTGGAGAATGAAGCTGATCCAGGGATAGTCTGTTTTAACAAATTCCCTCAATCAGAAATTAGCCACAGGTTCACTTAATATGAAATACGGTATTCCGCGTATAGAATTTTCTATCGGTCTATACGTTTCCTTCTTCTAATTTCCGCATCTTTCAAATCTGCTTCACAATTTAAAGCATTGTAAGTAAATTGTGAAGCTCAATAGCACTACATAGGTTAGCTTTTCATTACCAATTTCCTGCGTGCCATTTTATTTAAAGTACTTATTACTCGGACCCTTCCCTTAATGAAAACCCACGATCTGCGTAGGTGCGGAGGTACTTGTGTCATTTAATTCTTTTCCTATCCTCACTTCGCTGAGTTGTTACAGCTAAATTGTACGCCTCCAACGCCGTTAGTAATAGATCCTTTGTCATTTGTTAATATAGTAACAGTGTCTAATTCAGTTCATATTAAGGTTATCATCTTGGCGAACACAAATGTTGTATATTGTATGACATATTCTATCGCTCTATCAGAAAATAGACCTCATAGATATAAAGAACAAGCGGAAGCAGAAAAGAAATTCAGCATCGGTTGAGAGGTATCTTATATAAATGAAAAAAGTATCAAAGAAAATTTAAGCACTGGACCTCGTTTTCATTTTCTGAGCTGTCATTCACTTCCATGTAGTTTACTGTTGCCTAGTTGCTCTGGTTGGATCTTACTGCTATTTAGGGGACATTGTAAACGATAGGAAAATTATACCATCGGAAAATTGATTAATGCCAGAGGAATGTTTTAACTTAACTATATAGTTGTTTGGTACTTTAACTTGCGTTGAGCGTATCTGGCGGAAGAAACTAAAAATGATGATTTAAACTTATTGTCGGCGGGAAATCCAAAGGAATACCATGTTTGATTACAACATCCATCAAAGTTTGTGGTAAGCTACAAACATATGTTTAATCTGAAACAATATTGTCGGAAAATGCAAATAAGTACAAGGAAGATTTTCCCTGTAGGAGCACTAGCGCAAAAAAATATGTTGACCATGTTTATTGACCGATTACATACTTAAATATTATGCATGTATGGAGCCCGTTGTTTTAATAGGACATACATTTTGTCTGTTTGTGCCAAGATTTGTAAACGTTACCCTGACAACGAGCTGAAGGTTTTAGCTGCTAAACCCTAAGGGTTGGTCATTAAAACATAACTTAATTTTGCTAACTGAACTCAGAAGCATTGAAAAATTTTCGATTGCACCTTACGGAGAGTTCTACAGTGTTTGCTCATTCATTACTTTAGAAAGAATCAGTAAATGTGTAGCTGATAAATCAGAAAAGCAATTAAAGATATCATGACTCCGCTTAGCATGAGTTATAAAAAAGGATCCGAAATAAGCATCATTTAACATAGTAATCTTCATTACATAAAGCCGATGGTCAGTACATTACGTTTGCTCCTTCCTCTGCAGCGATTCATATGCACAGCAAAGGTGCTTGGACAGAGTAGTTTTTCCTCACTGTCAGTTTGAAAACGTAGCATTTTGTGGAACGGATGCGTGCGTAATTGTCAGTTTCACAGCTTCTAACAACAGAACCAACGTAAACAATTAACGCGTTTTCCCTCGCCAACCATATTTGCCTAAAGGTCGTACAATTCGTCACCAGCAGTAAATTCTTCATTTTATTGAGCTACTTCACCCTTGCGGAACAACATTATCCTTACATTTATTTCAGTACAATGGTTTGGTATTGCGCAAATTGAAGTGCGTTCGTTCCGTTGTGTGAAGCATACTGCCTTGTATTTAAACGATTCAAGAGTAACATGTGAACTGGCTATCTTTTTTGCGCATGACGGCTTCACTTCTGAACAACATTTCATCATGTTCAGTTTAACTAAATAATTACAGCGAACGTGGGAAATTTCTTGAAGTGAACCCTTCAGTTAAAGTCAAACACCGGGTGGAGCATGAAATGGCTTCCATGTAGCCATTTGCTATTTATAAGGAACATATATGACCGAAGTGGTAGATGTGCATTGTTTTATCATGGGGAAGGAAGAGACTTGATCCGTTGCTGTTAGACAGGTCGCTGCGACACATCACCTGTTTGTTGGTTTTTCTGATTGACTGGTTTTTCACTAACTTCTTCCTGATGATCATCTCTGCCTGTACAACAAACTAGTATTCGTTTATAAAAATCATTTATTAAGCCACATAATAAAAGGCAAAGCAACCGCAATCACAGAAAGATGCAGGAATTGGCCGTAAGGGTTTTGATGACTCGGCTGCAAAACGAATGCTAAGAACAAGTTTACAATACGAGAGTCAAACAGTGTATGATTCACTGATCAATAAAATAGTAAACTTCATCCTTTCTTTTCGTTTCCAAAATGCAAACGATGGTGCCAAGAATTTTGTTTTTTGTTTTGTGAGAACTTACAAGCATATTTATTTTACTTGCATTTATCGGATTAGTTAGAAATGCCATCCACGAACTTACATTTCAAGTTGCATCCTACTCTGCTCTGAAATAATGGAAAGCCACAGAATTTAATTAAACCCTTTTTTAACGTCCACTCTTATCAAAAATTTTCATTAACTATGGAAACACAACCGAAAATGATTGTTGCTTACTGATTGCTCACTCTTCCACTTCTGACCAAAAAAGTGTTTGAAGGAAAGTGTTGTTTCTCCCATTTTGATACGGAGTACAAGTTAGTGCATTATTTCCATTCGCGTACAGTTATCTGCCACTGGTCCCTAGTATTAAGGTGAAACAGCTTTGAAACAAAGCCTCATTTTGACAGCCGTTATATTCGAACCAAGATTGACCACTACCCCATTTCAAGAGAAAATGTGGAGAAGATGTCCATTCATTCCGTCTTTTTGATGTTTCGTATCTGAGATAGTGATGAGACATTACGAATTTTGCCCAACCAAAACAAAACATCCGTATAAAATTTCATCTCCTGTGTGTACAAGAATAAAAACATTGCAACCTAATTTAAATGCAAAATCTGGAAAAACAACAATCAACTAGGCTCTAGAACAGACGTCAAATAGCCAATGTAGTAGAATAGTTTTCTTTTAACATTAACATTTTTGTGCTATCTCAGACACCAGATCTGCTTATCCCCAGTGGCACATGCTGCATGTCTATGGTGCTCGAGGTTCCATGACAAACAATGCGGCGCCGTTCCATGGAATATGCTGTTTGATTGGTTGGATGGCTGAACAATCTGAGTTCATCCGATTGGTCATTAACACTTTCCGGGAACATTTCTCCTCATCACTACCGTCACACGAACCTGGAAACATTGAACTAAGGGGATACAGTGCTCCATTACAATCCAGGTTTAGGGTTGAAAGTAGCGGCACGTATATTTACTCTTAACACCTGATGATTGTGGGACCAGAGTTATTTTTATACCCAAGAACAAGCAGTGAAATGAAATGAGTTTGCACATTAAACGTTCCATTCTTCCACACCCTGATCACACAGTCTCCCTGGAGAGTATATTTTGCATTCTCGCCGGTTTCATCTCCACGTGGTACACAGTAACTGGCGCAAGCGATCACAAACAGATCAGCTCACAATTAGGGTATCCTCGAAATGATCAGAAACAATTACCGTTTGTCTCACGTGAACCAGGTAGAAAAAGTGTTCCAGCATCACATTCGCACGAGATCCACAATGGTTTATCAGAGCATTTACTTTTATCAGACCCATTGTTCGATCCCTCCATTTTGACAGATGATGCGGCCCACGTGGTTCAGTCATCCCGTTGTACTGCTGAGGAGAGGAAAAATCACATCCAATGCTTTGAGGTTCTTCCTGAAGAGCAGTATTCAGCTCCTTTGGGAAGTACAGTGAATATGCAATGTGTGGTACTGAACCAGCACGGGAAGGTCCAATGGAGAGCGAAACAAGTACTATTGGGTAAGTCAACTTTGTTCTCTTGGTTGCTTGCGGTTTTATGGCCGTGAGCTGCGTAAAACCTGAATCAATGATGAGAGTTCAGTGTGGACATAACTAGAGAAACATTATAGTCTACACATTGGGATTTTCTTAAACATAGTTGATACTGCAACTGTGTTTCTTTTTAACCAGCTACAATGATATTGTTCAGCCGAATAAATGGTATGGCTAAGATAGCAGATTTATCTAGCTCCTATATGAATGGTAAGCAATTTCTCTGTTGCATTGTATCGAAACTGCTTTAGCGTGTATTTTAAAAGATTTAACATCCATTTGAAGCGGAAGCCAGCAGAGCAATGTTATCCAAAAAGGATGAGTTTGAACCAGAACATCGAACCGTTTATAACTGAATGCCGACGATTACATGCAGACTGTCGCTTCCGGATAGTGAATCAAAACAAAATTATGATAAGCTTGGATTGTGTATGTTTACTTTTGAGATACCTTAAAACCATAAAATTGAGCAGCAAATCAAGACTGACACACGCACGTTTATTTTCATTGCCTACGACATCGAAAATGTCTGGATATGTTTCCCGGAATGAAATAGCGATAGAACAAGCAACAGCGTTTCTTATACTTCTGTAAAGACTATCTTTCTGCTTAAGATGAACTAGCGTTAAAATATGGCCGTGTAATTGCCAAATTTTGCGCATACGAGTTGTTAACAACCGCTTCTATTTGCCTGCGTCTAGAATCTTGAGTTGCACCCGTCGAAATTACCGTAAACCCAGTTGCCATCAAATATCTGAGTGCTACTTCTCAAATTTTATATTGTTCTTGGTTCACTTTTCCTAATCTGGTGTATTTGGTATGCATTACTGCCTCTCTGTGAAAAGAGTCATAATGTTATGCCAAACAGTACTCTCGGTAAATGCAATGCAGCACAGGCACTTTGACTGGATGTGGCCAACAGAAAATGTGCAGGTCACAGAACAATCGCAGTGGAAGGATGCGGTGTTACCTCCACAAGAATATGTGCCAAAAATAAGAATGGTCGGTGGTTTCTTCTCTGGTATATGTGGTATTGTAAGAAATGATTGGTATCGGACTAGTTGCAATTGAAATAGACTTTGCTCAGATCCAAAATGGAATCAACAACACACAGAGAATGCACGTGAACATCCTACCAAGCAGTTCGAAATTATACTAACCAAATTGATACATTAAAACGAGTACAAGCAGATATCGTTTACGAGCAGTCACCACAAAATCACTGGAAGCTTTTATTAACCCTAGCTATGTTAACTCTGCCTGAAGATTTACGACAAAGTGGAGCTGGGTATTCAAGCTGGGTAGTGGTAGTGAGCGGCGGTTGACACTTACCAATTTTGGATACAGGATGGCCGGGGCTAAATTTTTGATTAGCTGTGGTGCTGGTTGCGATTGAATGGCACATTTCAAGTGCATACCAGGTGTCTCCCAAAATACGACACAAAGGGATAGTTCTCTGTCAGTTATATTAGTATACGCAATTTCAACTTATGTATCGTGTTTTCCCAAACATTGCGTTCAGTTGGAGAGCTTAAAAATCACGTTCCACTCTTTTATATCAAATTTACCTGACTTTATCTATGATTATGTCTACTACACGATGTGTTTCTTTTTTTTGTCCAGCACCAAGTCTAAAATGCACAGCAAAGGTGTTAAAATCTAGTATAAACTATAGGTAACTGCTGCGTCATTTCTAACGGTCAACACAGCATATCTTATTTACTAATCCCGATTTCCACTTAGTTATTGTTAAGAAGACATAGTACCAGCTTCCATCTGTCGCACACTTCACTGCTCATCCGAGACGGTTCGATTTCGAATTTATTTCACTTGTTTAACTAATGATAACTGGGAGTTGGATGAGGTATCTCATGAGTCTCGCTACCGTAATCAGGTACACCTAATGCATCCCATCAGTGATCGAGGCTGTACTGACGGTTGCCTTGGATAAGCAGACTTTACCTATGTGCAAATGATAGCCCATAGACGTTAGAATATAGATAGGGGCTGCAAAATTTCACTCAAAGTTGAAGGATCCTGATGTTAGAAACCCGAGCCTTGCTTCTCCTGAATTCACATGATTGGTTTAAGTTATTATTAGGTATAATTAGGTATAATTAATTAATTAATTAGGTATAATTACTTTAAAGAAATGAACGCTTTTATCTTAAGCTAACTAAGCTTCGAACATTTCGCAACACCAGAATGCAATGACCCAGGTATCGATGTTTACTGGGTAAGAGATTTATGTGTATTTGAAGCGCTTTCCGATTTTGGGTATGTTTCAAAAGCATTTGGCATTTGTTTAAAATAGACCTTGGAGGAGCAGTGTGACCTAAGTTTGATTGCAAGGTCACGGTGTGTGATTGCATTATGAAGCTCAATCTCATAGTTGACCGCCATTTGCATTGCCCGTCATGACCTGGTGGATTAAGGACAGTGGTCCCAACAAACATCCAAATGATTTCGGGTTCGAGGCCGGATGAGTTTAAATACGGTTGAAAGGCGTTATGGAGTGTAGTGCTTTCAAGCGGGCAACACCAAATTTCCTTCTGCTTAACATAAGTGCCTTAAATAAGAGCTCATGCTTAAATCTCTATGCCATCTGTGTTCCTTTCACATACTTCCGTAACTGTGGTAACAGGCGGATGATTTGTTTTACAATAAATGATGGCTTTCATAGCAGGGTGTCGTAAAGACTCTGAATATTAATGACAGTCTCGATTATTGTGCGCTGAGAAAAACTGCACCAAGAATTTTCGCTCGCGTCCGGTAGCTACACGAAGCGACTAATTTCGAACGCACACAATTGGAAGCTGTGAAAGAATATTTGTCTGTGTACGACATTTTCCTAAACTTTCATTTAAAATTGTCAGATAACTATAATGAGTGAAGTGTTAGAGCCCGACTAATTCAATTTTTACCAAGGCACGCCTGGGGTTCGTTCATCCTTACAAAGGCTATCCGGAATGTGTGGTTACGCTGATACGCATGGTATTTCCAGTCAGGCGTACCGGGTGCAGTATGTCATTTTTGCCGGTGCTGCTTGATTATTCTAACCAAGAAGACAACAGAGATTTGGGAAATAGGTTTCTTACCAACCGCTTTCTTATTAGGCTGCGTTTTGCACTATTCGCATATTTTTGACTGAAGGTTCATGGCTAAACTTACCTTCAGTTAGCTCAACGTACAGACGCATTGCAAAGCGTTTGTAAAGTATGCAGCTTAACTCGCTTCAGTAATCTGATTAGAAGGTTCAGTCATTATCCATCAAACCATAAGCTCATTACAGCTTAAGCTGCTGCCAAGGATTTCACCCTGAATTGTGGACAGAACAGTTAACATTTAATTGCAAGCTCTATCATAGTTACGAAAATCATTTTACATTCTTTATTAATCATCACAAACAATGGCTTGAATAGTTATTGCATATGAGTGCCCAAAGAGAGGCTGCACATAAAATATGAATTAAGAAGCAATGATATCTTTAATTTCGTATTTTGTGAAGTTCACTATGTTGGCCCTCCCCTAGAAAGTTGGATTCTTTAGACTGCAGCGTAGTTCTAATATGCTATTGAATTCTCAGGAAAAGTTTTAATTTGATGCAGATACGTGATTACTTAGTATATCATACTACATAGTGGAAGTGAGCAACGTTCGAATCTACAAAACTCCGTCGAAATATGCTCCTAAACATTAAAACGATAACCAGCTCTGACACAGCAATGTATTTCATGTTTTCTGGAGGTATGGAAGAATGCCTTACAATGACTTGGTACTCCCAGATGTGAGATGCCCTATCCAAAGGGGAAGTGTTCTCTGGATCGCATAGTGGAGAAGTGGAAATCCAGCAGATTTTAACCGCTGCACCGTGCTTACCACCATAAAGTGCTCCTGTATACAGTTGGAGATCGGCCCTTGTCCGCTCGAAGCCCAGGGGGAGGGCAATCTGAACAAGCATTTAATGGCGCGCACGTGTGATGCAGGGTGTCGCAGGTGTTATAACTGTGTTGACATAGGGAGGCTACCGAGACGTGAAATACCGCAGGTTATGTTGATATTGACCAGCATTCGACGACAGAACAGAGTGTGCAGACTGTTTCTCCCACTGGCCATTGCACGGTAAACTCCGTAAACTGGGTATCAGCTTGATAGCGCCTAGCCTCAGGCAGATGCTTAGTACGTATGTTCGTCCTCATGTTGAATATGCAATTCAAGCCTGGCACCCATACCCAAAACACGATCTTAGTGCATTGGAGCAGCTCCAGAGTCGAGCATTAAAGTACCTTATTGGAGTGCTCCATCTTCCATACGATTAGAGGCTGGAACGATTGGGGTATCCAGCTGACCTTACCGCCGTTTACGAGTGACTTCATAATGGTGCACTTACTTCTGCGCGATCCTCATCATGTGTGTCGCTCTGCACTGCAACTCAGCAGTAGTACCGACATGTGAGGTCACTCACTAAAACTGGCAGAACAGTACAGCCGTATGGATTGCCGCAGGAATTTCCTTTCCGACTGAGTGTGTCAACCGTGGAATGCTCCTCCAGAATCGGTTACTTCTGCACCATCACTATCCAAATATAGAAGACGTTTGTATGACTCAGTTACCCACCTACCCTTTGTTACCTAGTACATCCATCCATCCCACACCTGGGATATCCCTTGGTTTTATTTGCCGTTACATGTTTGTGCTGTGAACATACACGGATCGCAGGACTACAGGGAAACAAACCATAAGTTCCTCTTTTAGAAGTAGATAACCCGCTGCTTTTCATTTTTCAATAACCCCGCAAAACCACCCAAGGGGGCATGTAAACCATTGCTTCTTAACCCGTATAAACTTATTGTGTATTGTTCATTGATAGAGTAAAAGACGAGCGAGCAGCACCCTAGCAAGGGTCTTGGACGTAGGAGAGAAGCGAGTGGCAACCTCTTCGGTTCAAATGCAGTAGTTACGTTTGA